TATATATAATAATTGTATGTGTTGCAAATCTTGACATATGAGACTATCCCCCTCTTATGTATCCGATTTGCCCTGATACCTAGTTTTCAGGTAGCCTTGTACACAGTACATGCAATACCCATGATGTGCCTCGAAAAAAACTTCAACGATACCATTTATTATAGACGGTCCCCAATTAGTTACAAAGGTAAGGTTTTCGAATTCTCAGATTACTTTCCTCATCTTTATGAAGAACTAACGCATCGACGATTATTCTTGCTATCGACTATGCCAAATGGAGGGCAAATTTGGATGCTGGCATCTTGACATTTAGCAATAATTTATTTGCTTTCATATTTAACTTTCAGATTTGTACCATCGACTAGAATTAAGATCGCATCGCATTTTGAAATCTCCGAATACATTGTCCAAGAGTTATAAAAAAAAAAAAAAACTTAAAGCAATTCTTACCTTCCACAATAAAAAATGTCGAACCAGAATTAGTTGTCCCCATGTTATGATAGTACCTTACTAATTTAGCATATCTCTCCTTGATCGAGCCCATTAATCTTCCAACGCACACTCTTTGGCCTTTTAGTAGCTCATGACTACTTCGTACTCTCGACAGACATCATTAATGACGTCTGAAGGTTTGTAGATCTTACGTGGGTGTGGATACTTGTGCATTATTTATCAACTAATAAACCAACTCAGGCTTGCCTATGATTATTTCGACGAATTACCACTTTGCAAGTATGTTCCCATGTATACTTGCGACTATAAATAACTCATTTGTGTCCATTTTCGTCGCTCACAACACCAATGACAACTGTCCTCAACGCATATAATTGTCAACATTGATTTGTTTGATTTATTCACCATGAAGTCAAAGTTGTATTTTCAGTGCAATGCGGTGCACAGTCCCTACAAATCTTTCTTTATTTCAACAGTTGCTCGACATGCAAATCCTCATTATCGGGAATCACACGCGAAAAATTAAATGACGGTCCACTCGATCCAACCCTGAGCTCTCACTTCACTCGTGTCTCTAATAGAGAAAGTAATTAAATGC